AGCGTCTTCCAGTTGTTGCGCAGGGTCACGGCAATGATGGGGAAGTTGGTGCTGATGGTGAAGACGGGGAAGAGGCCCAGGAAGAAGCGCACCGCGGCCAGCCCCACGACGTCGCAGCGCGCGAAGTTGAGCGTGTACATGTCCATGAGGCTGTCGCCGCGGAAGCAGAAGATGGCGGTGAAGGAGAGGAGGCCGTAGAAGGCCAGGATCAGCACGTAGTCCAGGAAGACCAGGCGCGTGAGGTGGCGCTTGGAGGAGACGGGGGTGACGAGGGACGGCAGCGAGTGCTGGCACATGAAGGAGTAGACGCACACCCCAAACAGGTTCCGCACCCCCGAGAAGTCGGCCAGGGGCGGGTGCCCCTCCCCTTGTCCGTGCCCGATGCGGACCAGGGCCAGCACAATCATGATGGCGAAAGCTGGAAAATGAGAGAGGGGCGTCAGCCTGCAGGGGGCGCGGCCCTGCCTGGACGGGTCCTGGTCTGGGGGGCTGCGGCAGGCCTGGAGCCCCCTGAGAAAGGATCCTCAGGGGCAGATTCATGCCCGAAGGGCCACGTGCTGGGGTCCACTGTGGCCGTGACCCTGTGATGTCCCGTGCACCCCTCCCCCTGGGGGGCCTGACGGGTTGAGGAGTAAGCTGCTGGGGCCGTCAGTGGGCACCTTGGCACTGCGGCGGCAGCAGCTGGCTTCTGAGGGCACTCCTGGCCAGGCACTGCCCAGCTCGGCATCAGCCCTCAGGGGCCCTCTCAGGTGGCTGTGGCAGGGAGCAGGCCAGGCCAGGACTCGCAGTCACGCTCCCTTTCCCGGCTTGAAGAATGCGTGTCTGCAGAGCGGGGTGAGGCAGTGGGAGGGGTACAAAGCATGTGCGAGGAGAGGTTCCCAGGGCCAAGGGCAATCGCTGATTCAGCTGAGGGTAAATGGGCAGGAATGTGGGGGGCCCTGGCAGAGGTGGGTGCCCAAGCCCCTATAGTAGGTGGGAAGGTTCTAGTGAACTCTCCAGGGAAGAAACGGCACAAGGACCATGCCGGGGGCTGCCGAGTGCCAGCTGCTGGCGAGGCTGCAGGCACAGGGCACACGGCTCTGCTCTCCAGGGCTGGGTCTGTCAGGAGCAGGGGGCTTGCTTCATGAGCAGAAGGGGACCTACGACCCCGACCATTCACAGCAAACCAGGCTGGCCTCACCTAGCAGCCTTTTACCATGAGCTCCTTCCAGGCCACCCTGGAGATGGGCTCACCAGCCTGTCCTAGAATGCAAGGAAGGCCTGAGCCACTGACGTGGCACGCTGGGAAGATGGTGCTTCTAGATCTTTCTGCACCTTTCTGATTCCAGTATAGCCACTCTTAGTTCTTAACACTCACAGACCCCCGGGGGCCCTGTCTCCCTTCTAGAGTTTACAAACCCTGCTGTCTCTGCTCAGAACAGACCTGGCAGCCTCGTGACCTGCACCCAAGCCCATGAGGACACGTGACATTTCTTGTTGAGCAACGAGCGGGCGTGAAGGAGCAGTGGGAGGAAGAGGCCAGGGTGCAGCACAGTGGCTCCTGTCTGCCAGCCCCATGGGAGGCTGGGGGCCCCACTGTTCCCTTCGGGCCACATCCCACTCCCTGGCTCCTGGAGAGATGTCCGGCTGGGACCCCCAGGAAGCTGGGTCAGTGTCTTCCCACGGTGAAGGTGGGAGTCACTGGAATTGCCATCTAACCCTTTAATCAGAGCTGCCTGACGCTGCCGGGGACAGGAGGAGCAGGGGACAGGGAGGCAGGCCTGTAAAAATTGCCAATAAAGAAGATGATTTATTTCCGCCTCTCACAGTGCGCTCCGGGCCTGCCAGTCCTGACTGCCGCTCGGGGGTGTTGCAAATCTTCCCAGCCCTGGCCGGTCAAGGGGAAGCAGCGACCTACTTCCTCCCTCGAGTCTCTGCCTGGGGAGCTCCTCTGGCGCCTTTGGTGGGGATGCGCCGGGTGCCATGGGGCCTCCCTGCCCCCTTGGGACAGCCTAGGACCTGGGCACTCTGGCTTGTGCAGGGTCTGGGGGTAGGGGTGGGAGAGGTGTGTACGGAAGAGCTCTGAGTGAAGAGCCGTACCCCGGGGGCTGGGGGCCACCCCCCGCCCTGCAGAAAGGCTAAACAGGCTGGAGGTGGCATCCCTGTGTGGCAGAAAGCCTGCTGTGCGTTGGAAAGGGTTACAAAGCAGAGCTGAGCAGGGTCAGGTGAGCACGGGCCCTGGGCGCCTAGTGATTAGGTATTTAAGAGGCTGCAGCCACAGTCCTGCCATCCCAGGTAGGGGAGGTGGGGCACAGGGGCAGGGCAAAGGGGCAGCTGCCCGAAGGCAGGATTCAGCTCCTGTTCTGACACTGCCATCCTGGGGCGCCACCTCGTGACCTGGTGCTGCTCCTGGGCTTGGCCAGGGCTGGCAGGAACTTGGGAAGAGGCCAGTTGAGAAATCCTCTAGCTGGCTGTGCCTGGCTTGCATCTCGGGCCCCAGGGACGGGTGAGCTAGAAGGTGAGAGGCGGTGGCTGCCTGGAGGGGGCCTCCCCCTGCTCTCTTCTGCGCCCTTCCGCTCTCACTGCCCTGTGTGGGTGGGGGCCAGCTAGGGCTTCGGTGCCCCCTTCCTGCCCAGCCCCAGGTCCCCAGAAAGCTGTAGGACATGCAGGCTGAAACTGGCTTGCCCACTTCAAGCCAAGTTCTCTGGCCCCAACCTCGGGCCTCCCTTATTTAAAAATAAACCAATGTATGGTGCCCACAATGTGGTTCGAGTCCCATACTTGGAGGCTTGGGAAACTTGTTGGGCTTGCGGGCGTGCTCCAAATCCTGAGAGAACAGTGAAGGGGTAGTGGCGTGGCCATGCCTGTGGGGATGCTTTCTCACTTTCCCTCTCTCTGTCTCTGTCTGTCTTTGGAGAGTGAAGACCTTAGAGCCAAAAAAAAAAAAAAAAAAAAATAAAAAGTAGGTTTCCGAAGACACGATCCTGTTTCACGCAGCATGGGCACGTGTGCTCACGTACACACCCGGGTGCACACTGCCCAGTGGGGGCCCTCCTGACTTGTTGGCCTGGGAGGTGGCACCTTTATTTCAACAGCCACACAGGACATTTTCTAGAACTTTCAGGATGGCCGACAAGGTCATGGCGATGGGTGAGAAGCCTATTTGTCTCCTGCTCCGCCGGCCCAGTCGGCGACCTGCTCTCTCCAGCCTCTCAGTCCAGCAGGCCTAATTCCGAGAACAGAGCTACTTATTTATTTATTTGTCACAGGGTGGATGAGCTTGCCGGAGACAGAGAGGCAGTGAGAGGGAAAGTGAGGACTCGCCCCCAGGGGGATGGCCGTGCCACACTCCCTTCCCCATTCTCCTTTCGGGATTTGGGGCACGCAAGCAGAGGCATCTGGCATGATTGCCAAGATGCGGACTTGAACCGCCATCAGCCATGTGGGAGTCCAGTGCCTTAGCCACCAAGCCTGCTGGGCCTGAACAGGTCTATTTCTAAAAATCAACCCTACCCTCGAGAGTTGGAGGTTTGCTGCCTTCTGAAAGGAAGATGCCAGCAGTTCTTGACAGGGGGATTCCAGGAGCCTCGAAAAGTGACTGCCTAAGGACCATGAGGGGACAGCTCACGGCGGAGGGTTGGGGGGGTGAGTCTCACCCTTTCTGTGGGCCACACCCAGCACTGTCCGCCTGAAGCTCGCCCCTTGTGGGAATGCCGCCAGTCAGGACGAGCAAACCAGGGCACCGGCTCCCAAGTGGAGGTGGTCATCCGCCCGCCTGAGGGCCACAGTGCCTGCGCCATCAGCCAGTCCTGCCCTCTGGGGACAGCGGTCAGCAGTAAGAGCCCACGTTATACCAGAACAGCCAGGCCTGAATGGGGTGAGGACTAGTTTCCCTGAGGTCAACGTCTGAGGGGGGCCAAGCCAACCCCTTCTTTTCTTTGGAAAAGAGGCCGCGCCCTTTGGCACTGGGGCTGTCCCAGGGGTAGAGAGAGAAGGGAATGTTCCAGACTGGCCTCCAACCTGGCAAGTCCCAAAAAAACCAGGGCTCTCCTCTCTTTGGGCTCCCACGGAGAGAGAAAAGGGAAGGGAGGACGCAGGAGGGCCAGGCTGACCCTGCGGGGCCCTGAGGCCAGGGGCACCAGGCCTGACCCCGCTACCTGCCGGGCCCTGCCCTGGGACCGCGGCCCTTTGTCCCGGCCGCCCCTCCCTGGCTGCTGGAGGAGCAGAGTTCAACAGCCATCTCCTAGATGGATCGCCCGGGCCGGGAGACAGCTGCTCCGAAAACTCATTAGGGCTGATCATAAATCAAGATAATATGGGGATGGCAGGCTGTGAGCGATGGGCACTGCCAGGCAGTGCGGTGGGCAGCGGGGTCCTCCCGCCCAGGCAGAGTGGGACGGAGCAGGGGGAGCGCCTCGGAAATCCCGGGCCTCACAATCAGAGGCCACCGGTCCCGGTCCCTAAGGGCAGGTCGGTCTGGCCGTTCTCTGGCCTACCCGAGGCCGGGCTCAGAGAATCCACCACATCCACCTGCATTTCACACCGGAAGTCACACTCCAAGGGGTGAGGAGAAGCGTGAGGAGCTGGGAGGACAGGGAGGGGACTGACACCATGTCACCTGAGTGGCTGCTGGGCCTCGGAAGGCTCTGCTGCGAGGCACCCGGAGAGGAAGGAGACGTCTCCTTTTATAACCCAGTAGCCCCAGGTGGAAAGTGGCCCCTGTTCCGCGTAACCCACAAGCTCGCCCAGGACCGCATGCTCCTTCATTCCACACACGGGAACCAAGCGTCACCGGGGACCACGCCGAGACAGACACAGGCCTGGCCTGGGGTGCGGTGTGGGACCAATGACGAGAGCAAGCTATGCCCAAAGCAGGTCTGGGTAACGGCCCCACTGCCTGGGGCACCAGCGATGTGATCGCTGCGGCAGGGAAAGTCCAAGATGGGAATGGGGTGTCAGAGGGACTGGATGGGATTTGGGGCCATTGTGCTCTCTGTCTGTGGCCACCTCGACCTCACAGTTCAGGAGGGGAGGCCGCGACCCGGGGTGTTGACCCAGAGCCACCTCTCCCGGCTACAGGCAGGGATCTCTGCCCTGCCCCCCTGCCCGCGCGTCACCTGCCAAGGTGCACGCTTGCACACAGACCGCCCTGACAGTGGGCTGAGCGCTGCAAGCTGGCCTCCCCATATTGATTCACCTTGAGCCGCAGCCCGCGTCCCTCTCCCCCACGCATCTGACTCGTCGGAGGGAGAGAGGAGGACAGGAGCGGAAGGCAAGACATTATCGCGGTAACCGAGATAGAAACAGGCACAAACCCCGAGCCAAGCGACCAGCTCAGAGAGGACTCGCCACTCCCTGAGGAGCCTGGGCTAAGTGGAACGGACCCAGGGACTAACCTGCTCGTCTGCAGGGCACAGCCCTTGGGACCGGGACGGCTCC